TCTAAAATTTTTACAAATTTATTAATACTAATTCGCCTTTATAATAAAGTGTTTTTTAATTCGTATAATAGAACTGGTAGATTTTCAGAGTATGCATCTATAACACAAATTAATTGTTATTCTGAATACATGACATATACCTATTATACTCATTTAGCGGCTTATCAATAAAAACATGTCTCTCAGAACGTGAAATCTAATCGTTAGTGAGAACTGAACACGATTTGACTTCTTTAGGCGTTGAGGGTGACGAAGAAACTGCTGGTAGTAAGGCACCCATTTGAAAGATTGCTAAGCGCGTATCGCGATAAGCTAGAGAATTCTGTGGCTGGAAGGGAACACGGGACACTTCACTTTTATCGGAAATATGGTGGCAAGATCGTTGAAAAGTATCGGGGTGAGTCACGAGAACTCGCTTTACATATATGTATATCGACCGCAGGTTCCTCTCACATACTGGGTTAACGGTGCACAGATCTTTTTTACTATTCTTATTTTTACGTTATTTAAGAAAGTAACTACACCACGCCTAGGATGGACCAAGTAATCAGGCGAAACGGTGTACCACCACCGGCTGGAATCGAGCCAACCTTCCGCGAATTTGTTCAGTACTTGATTCACACTGATCTAGCCATGTATGGTGATGATCATTGGATGCCGTATTACTTATTCTGCACCCCCTGCGTTATGCATTACGATATAATTGGAAAGGTAAAATACTTCACTTTGCCTTACGATTAGACCATATGCTATAAGTATATGCAGGGTGTCCCAGAAGAAGTTTTAGAGCCGAAGAGAGGTGATTCTAGAGGTGTTTCTCCACAACAATTTCCTTTGCCAAAATGCAAAGTGAGCCGCGCTTTTTTAATTATTGATGAAAAACACTGACCAATGAGAACATGCGTAGGGCCCGCGGCCAGCTACGAATAGGTTGGCTCGGATCATGGCGCTTGGCCGTGGCTTAGCGCGGGCCCTACACATACTCTTATTGGTCAGTGTTTTTCGTTAATAATTTAAAAACCATGCCTCACTTTTGCCAAAGGAAACTTTTGTCAGAAAGACCCATAGAAATATACCTCTACGGCTGTAAAACTTTTTTTGGGACACCCTGTATATGATCCAAGCATTTTACTGATAATATAAATATACGTATCATAAAGGA